TATTTCAAACTCCTCTCCCTCAATAGCCTCACCAGTAAACCAGGAGACAGCATGAGGTATGATCTTGTCCCGGATTGTAGAACTGCACGAAACAAGAATACTCGAATCAGAAACTTACAATTCACACATTATAACTTTACAATAAAGGACGCTAACTAGAGCTTTGATAGGGAATCAACAGAGTTCTTGTTCAGAAGAAGACGAACCCAATGTCATAATCTTGTTCCATCAGATTCTGAAGCTCCTCAGCCTGCACCAAGGACAATAAAACATTAATGCATATGTTAACTAAACATACTCAGAATATGACATGCTTTGAAACGAAAAAACATCATACCCTGTCCTCGTCAATGTCTTCATCATCATCGGGAACTTGAGGAGGATTGAAGAAGTTGAAGAAGCTTTCACAATCTTCGGTTTTGGTGATTGGCTTGGCGTTCTTCGCACCTTTCTTAGGCTTCTTCTTAAGAATCTTCTGAGTTAAGCATTTTCCAGGATACCAATCAATCTCTGTCCTGAGATAAAGAAATTGAACACACATTGGAATATAAGTCAGCAAAAGATTATGCAGCATCTTGCACGCATCTTCAAACAAAATATGCTAAAGTATCAGCAATTACCCAATAGCCTTCTCAAGCAGAGGCTCATCTTCATCAATCATATGATATGCCTTTGTTAATAGAGTGTTTTTAAAGTAAGGATTCTGGTCGAAGAAAAACTCAAGCTTGAATCCTTTTGGCTCTTCAATCTTGCACCACTTAATATCTTTAAGATAAATGAGGGCACCTTCATCACGCTCTGTGATCTGATATCAAAGGGAATAAAAAATGAGGTCATTTTCCACGCATATGATTAGAGTGACTCAAAATGAACAACCATAGCTGCAAGGCTAACCTCCTCAGATATAACATCATTGTTTTTCAGGGCGGTCAGCCAGAAACTTGGGACTCCTTTCTCTGCAATGAAACATGGTTGAAATATGCAAATTGTTCTTTCATGAAAGGTTACAAAGCAAAAGGGAAAGAGATAGAGAGTGTGTACCTTCTGGAGCTTTCTCGTCTCCTTGGTCCAACTTTGCATCCTCTTGAGCCCCTTCGACTTCGGTACTTCCATTCACAATCTCATAACGCTGCACATTCCAGGGTGTCAAGTAAGTTTTCAAGAGGATATCTAAAATGCAGTTAACCAAACATAGGGATTTCTCCATCATTTGTCATCTGTTTTAATCTAAATGATCAGCAATATTCTCATTACTAATTACCTTGGTATACAAAGGCTGATATAACTTTTGATACTTGGCCTCAAGGGCAGCTCTCTCCTCGCGGAATTTCGTCTCTATCTCATCATGTTTACCCTACATGGAAAGGATACTCGGATAATCATCAAAAGGGTTCACATTACTTATTAAAATTCGACATTCATCATTCTTGACCTCGCAAGGAAGACATTCTCATATAATCAACAGCATACAAATACACATTCAAGATCAGATTCACAAGATACCATATCAGTCTACACAAACCCATTGAACAATAGCTTAAATAGGTAATAAAACATAAAATGTGAATGGAGTTTTTTCCAAACCTGAATCTCCCGCAGGACCTCAACACGTCTTCTGACTTTAGGAGTCAGATTCTCGAGCACATCAGAATGCTGTCCAGCCAAATTCTGCAGCTTGTTCTGTCAAATTAAAAACATATCAACAAATCTCCAAGGAAACAATATATATTGTAAACGAAGGTGCACGAAAAAATGTCATTGAAACCTAAACCCTAAAACGAAACCCCCAAATCCATATTCAAGTTTACGGCAAAAAAGAGAAACTTGAGATAAACAGGAGATAGAGAAAGTCACCTTAAGAGCGTTAACAAGGCCTGCTCGATCCTCATCTTTAAGAGCTGCAAAACAAAAATGAAATCAAATCAATAGACAGAAAACTAGGGTTAAGAAATCTGGATTTGACCCAAGAAGAAGCAGAAACAAAAGAGAAAGGGATAAATCGGAGAAATACCAGCAGTGAGATCGGCGACGTTGAAATTGTCCTTCTCGTTGCTCATTTCTGGAAACTTGGAGATGAACAAGGAAGAAAGATTTGAGAAGAGAGGATTTGTGGAGACTGAGGTTTGAAAGTGGTGGAGAGATTGAGGTTTTGTTTTGTGGTGGCGACTAAACACAAAACGTGGTTTCCTTTATATTAAACCTAACAACTGCCATTTTTAATTTCCCTCGCTGGCA